CTGCTTGGAGAATGTTCCAATATTACGAGAAATATACCCTCCATGCGCGTAGAGAAACGTGCTTTTTGAATATTTAAATCACACTGGTATATTGAAGCAATAGAATTTATTTAGTAATAGGATTTATTCCCGTTAAAATCTACACTAAGGAATATTGTTAAGAAATTAAAACGGGAAACCTATAGTCAACCCGACTGGCATATTCCTTCATTTGTTTAATACATTGTTTCGGCCCTATTTTTTGGGCCCTTATCAATTATATTATTATAGTACTAAGTGAGTCATCGTCGTCGCATAAGACAGAGTCGAATTATAAAAATACGTGTACGTGTGAGCACTGTGGCTGCTGGGCTCGAACTGTTTTGAATTGTTACGAAAAGTGATGTAAATTTTTTTTTTTAAGTCAGGATGTTTTGCCATTCGGCGTAATGTAATGCGACCTTGCATTGTTCCATGCAATTCTTAAGAAATATGATGAAGTCCTCTCAAAATAGCGATAACGGTATTGATTATTGTGGCTTACTAATTGCTACCTTGTACAAGTACCTATTGTGTACAACTTAACATGAGTGAGCTGTACATGAGTACAGCAAAGAGATTTATTTCACTCTCGAATGATTTTTTATTCGTCTTTGCTCTGAACGGAATTACCATTAAGATTTTTTAATTCACAACTAATTAACTCACTAAATTTACTTTATATCTATTTAAATAATAGATACGTAGTAGATATGTAATATAATCTTTTAGGAAAATATAAAATATTTTTAAGTTACGCTGTGCGTTTCGGGGAACATAATATAAATCTTTAGACATGCGCGTTTATAGTATACGTAAGCCAGCTATAGTGCAGCTAGCTTTTACACGTATGGAAATTCTCTCTCTTTCCGAAGTGAAAAGTTTTCATCCCGCATTTTTGGTCACGAGTGCAAAGTGCGGTGTAAACTTGTCGTTGAATTAACGACGCGCAACATTATAAAACTTTGCACGACGTGTCCGTCAGTGATATTGCGGATTGCTTCGCCAGCAACGATCATCCAGACGCTCCTTGTACGCGTCGCAATTAAAGGGATCCCTGTAAATTGCATACGCGAGTCTTTTCTCGACCCCTCGGCTCCTTCCCATCCTCTTTACACGTCTCTGTGCCTTTTTTTCAATGTTCCCTTCATTTGCTACCATAATCATGTAGGTACCCCGTAGATCTATCATGCGTCGCGCGTAAATCCGTCACTGACACTAGCCTCGCGTTTAAGGTTCAAGGCTCCCTCGGTATACGCGTCATATATATCTCTAGGAAAATAAGAAAGCTGCAGGTGTGAATTAGCGTAGGCATAAATAGAGCATAATTAGCCGCGGTGAGTCAATGGAATCGGCGTAGCGAGGACCTTGTTTAGCGCAATTAATGACCGCACTCAGCTGTCGCCGTTTAACGCACGCAGCGCGTAAAATTTATATATTTCTTTAAACAGTACTTCACGATACACTGCGTATGCAGATGTCAGATATCGTATTTGATATTTAAATGTATGAAATTTTTATTCTCACTTCACGATCTCAAGAATTTCACGGACTAATACCCTCGTGATTCGCATTGAAAATGAGTATAAAGCAGTGGGTGGCAATGCGATGAGGTTTTACCGAATATCTTTTCTCTATATAGAGAGCGTGATTAAACATACCGTCGTTACCGCGAGATTTTTCCTTATCCGGCGACTTTTTATCTTCCACTTTGAAATGGTTGTGCAAGGCTGAACTCTCCGGAAGCATTACACATTAAAGTGTCGTCAATAATGGAAATATTCTTCGTAGCATGTAACGATTATAAAAATTGTACTTTTTTTTCACAAAGATTGTTACAGGATAGATTCTTCCTCGATGTTGCATTTTTTTCTTAGGGCAATTAATAATATTGTTGCAATTTATAAGCGTATAAAATTTATAAGAAATAGTTTTACGATACATCAAGTGTTAAAATAATTGTTAATCAATTATTTATGTCCGTAGTTCTGATTGCGCAAGTCGTATCAGTCGATGTGATGCTCCACGAGCGAGACCATCCTTTTTATCATTGAAAGAAATGGAAGAAGCATATTTGTGGTATATTCGTTACACATTTTAATTGTAACAAATTTTATATTGCAGAGAGATATCTAAGACAGTTTCTTTTCGCATTTATCCTGATCGTCGCTTAGCATTTCTTATGCTTTACGCGCAATTTTCGATGCGCATTTTGCGCAGCGATAGTTAGGTAATGTGTCAGGATCAAATCCGCACGATCGCTCGTTACACGAAGCACGTGCGGCGTTTCTTTATGGCGGCATCAGACCGAAAATTAATTTTGTGAGACCGGTATCGGGTAAGGCTGCTGCCGTATAGATTACGAAATACTGCACGGGCGTGCATAATGCATTATGCGCTCGCGAAGCGGACCTGTTTACTCCACGGCCGATCGGATTCAATGCCAAGATCGAACGGCGGATTGATCGGCCGCGCTCGGGACAGGCGCGGAATGTCGAGCCAAATACAGCAGCCGTTCCGGCCGTGACGTGAATTCGCGATCCGAGCGGGGGGGAACATTTCGGCAACGGTCGTTTACATTGTATGGACGTGTCACGAGGATTGTAAAGCCCGCTTGTGACCGGGTGAAACAGTTACGTGACGACCAGCGTCGTTATCATATAACGATTACACGCTCGGCATTGAACTCCGCTCAGCTCCGACTTCAACTACAATTACCGAATGCCTATATATAGCATATTATTCAAACTTCAAAACTTTACCATGTCTGGCAAATTTTTATGTTTAAACTCACGACGTTTCGACCGTGGTTTGTGGTCCTTCTCAAGTGATCTAACAAAGAAATTGCAAGCAGTTTGGTAAAGAGTTGATACATACGTGAGTTACAAAATAAATGCGTTACATAAATTACAGTCAGAAGTATAAAGATTGAGAAGTAAAGTAAGATTGACGTTATTAATGTAGGAAAGATCTACAAAAGTGGGAGACAAATGTCGTGGTTAATGTAAGAGTATATTACAAAGGTAGATGTCATGAACCTGGTTGTGTCAAAGTCGTGATTAAGATTAATAAGATTTCCTCCAGTCATATTATTCAGTTTTAGGTGGTTAAAATATGAGTGTAAAAAATACGAATTGTACAAGCTTCGGCAAATGAAATATTCAAGTTTCAATCAAAAATACGAATAATCATAATGGAATTTTTTGTCAGAGCTGGAGCTTCGTAGCCAATTAATAATTCTGTATAAATACTGCACTTTTTCCAAATGTACATTTAATAAACTGTCGGCCTTATGTCCATTTCTATCAACGCAGATTAATTTTAATCGCTTAATTTACTTTTTATCTTTTTCTAATTCTTAGAACTAGAAGATGAGTAGGCTAAACCGAGATTAAAATTTGTCTACATTGATAGAAATGGAAGTTAAAGTACAGTCCTTTGTTTGAACAGCAAATTCACATAAGTTAAACGATTTAAATTTTTTATACTAATAACGCATCCTATTTAAAAATCAGTTTTACGATTATTAAAATAGGACTGTAAAAAGTACGAGTTGTAAAAGCTTCGGCATATGAGATATTCGTGTTTGAATTTGCACGTGCATTATTAGCCGGTATATATTTTAGATTTCACGATGGAAATTATGGGAAGGGATTTATGTAAATTGTTATTTACTCTTCTTGTTATTATCGCAATAAACACGATCACATCGGCCAAGGCGTAAAATAGCGAGCGATCGTTATGAGTTAATAGCTAGTTTAATGGAACGGCCGCTTAGATAAGTATCGGAAATAAAATATATCAATTTACGCCGCGTTTAATCCCAGGTTAATAAGATACCGCATCGTTCTGAATCATGAATGTACCTCATAGCTACTTGTTGCACCTGCTAACTCGTAATACTCGACTGATTTCTTTTGATTTCACGAACTGAATGAACAGCGTAGTATTAAGGCCCGGTTTTTCATTTTCTGGTTAATTGTTAACCAAAAGTTAGTCGATTCTCTGTCTCTCCTTACTATAGATAATAACGTGGAAAAGGATGGACAGTCGACTAACTTCTTGTTAACAGTCAACCAGAAAATGAAAAACCGGGCCTAAGAGGATTTCACGTTCACAAGAATAAGACCGAGATACCTAATACCACAAAGCGTCGATTAATAATTCTAAACGTTAATTATACAAATTATCTCGGTACTAAAAAGAACATTACAAATTATTTAGGCAACTTAGCGCGTCGTTTTATTATCAATTATCGACGCCAACGCAGAGTCTGCGAACCGAGCTCCGTTATCTGATGCATCATAATCGCCGTGTATTTATGAGGCCGCTTAAATTTTCGGCCAGTAACGCCTCGGACATCGAAATTTATGCTAATCACTTCCCTCTAGGAATCTCCGCTAAAGATCCGCCAATCTACTTCCCAAGGAAGCGAAGAAACACCCGACGATATTTCTACTCGACGGTTCAGAACTGCAGACGATAAATTACGTCCGTTGATCAGTCCCGATGATCCCGAAAAAGTTGTGTTATGAATTAAGTTAAAACGAGATCCAATCTCTGTCTCTCGTTTAAACGCGAGGCATTTGCTCCTTCGTCGGTGTCGCAGTATCTTCCGCGCATATGCAACCCCTTCAAGATTAATCTATACGTACTCTCCGAGAGCCAATCAGTGGATTATCACTGAAAACAGTGAATAGTTACCGATTTCCAGTTATAAGTGTACCATTGAAAATCGCAGTACTTATAACTTTAAACCAGTGATCATTGACTGTTTTCCGTGATAATTCACTAATGGACTTTTAGAGAGTAAAATCTCTAACAAGTACATCTCCAACTTATGCAAATTTTCAAAAACGTGTCTCCGCTTCTCAATTTTCATAATTTAAAAACAAACGCGACTCAAACGCGAAGGATGTGCGCGAGCAGCACGGGCGTTCATTTTCGCAGAAGGTGAAGAAAAAAATAATACGTGGACTCACATTTCGATGCATTCGGCAAACAAGTTCCGTGGTCTGTCAGTCGTCCGCGTTCGTCATCTCGCGAATTCTTCCGTTTCCTGGGGCCCGGCTGGATCCTCGTGGTCCTCGGGAACTCGCGTGGCGCGTGAGTTGTAAAACTTTTCTGTGGTAAACTATTCTGAAAATCGGTTGCCGATCGTGGCACGTTCCCGAGAGGGAGTAAGTCCTGAGGACGCGGATGGCTCCTACTTATAAAGACTTGGCCAAGACTTGGCTCTCCAATTGGCCTGCCGGCGTGTGCGTGGCGCACCAGCACGCGTGTGTATGTGCACGCGAGAAGGAATAGTGGCCGCGTGCAGGTGGTGGAAGGGGGCACAAACCGTGTCCCGATCGTTACACGCTCGATGTTACACATTACACCGGGGAGCCGGTACCGTCCAGGAATTCGCGCCTCTTCACCTGGGAATGCGACACTGTCGCGTTCCCCGTCGAATCGCATTTCTCGCATTCGAGCTAGTTATCGTCGCACGGAATTAGCAAGCGCGAGCGCTTCGCGCATAGAACTCTCGTGCGAGACCAAATAATGATCGCAATTTTTCTCTCAATTTTTCTCAATTATCTCCTTTCAGCAAAAAAGGTGCGACTCGACTCGTAAGTGAAATGTACTTGGATTCTTTCGCGCCCACCTCATCGCGCACTCCCGTTTGCAATTAATACACTTCAACGTTATTCCGTCGTAACTGTAGAGATGCGCGAACTGAGGCTCTTTCGTGTCGAATCGAATTTGATTTCTTTCTTCAAATGGAATTAAATCAAATCGATTGGTTGAAATATAATTATATAATTATTATCCGATTGGATTTTAAGCGTGGATAATTTTTTGAAGAGTAGAAAAATAACATTGGTTATATAAATTTCATATTTCAAAGTAAAGCACAAATTTAAATATTTAATATAAAATAAATAAAATATACTTGATTCTACAGTGGCTCAAACAATTAGATGAAAAATCATAGATAATTATTAAAGCACTCTAATGTAACATATCCAATAACTTTATCAAATTACATATAATTTCAATAAAATAATAAAGTTTATCTTATTGTCAACACCCTTTAGTTTGGATGTAAAGGTAAGATCTAATCATATTCTATTGCTACACTTAGGCGCTCAGCCAGCGGCTGAAGTAGCTAGTACTGAATGCACCCACTGAATATACCCATTGGCATAACCGTACTCTTTTGTTCATAAACGGAAAATGTGACTATAAGTGTTTTCGAATAGTTCAGATTGCAATCATAGAGATACAAATTCAGATCAAATGGAATCTCACTCGACTCGATCTCTATTCAAATGACTCGCGCGTCTCCAAACGCAATGTATACAAGTGTATTTTTTGTGCAGCGAGCCAACAGCATTTTTCTTCGAGGACAATTAGTAGTGGTATTTTTATATTTTATACGATAGCTGTCGCTTAAGGAGTAAGCTACAGAGCAGGTTTTGTTAATTCGTGCGCGAAGACATCGATACTGATAGAAGTCGAGTTGAACGCACCCCAAGACTTACGCGAGGGGGGACCGTCGTCGTCGCGGCATGCCGATCTCGTGAAAAACGGATACGAAAGCGAGTCGAAGACGCAGCGTGTCGACGGAAAGTAAAGCCAGCGTTGCAGCGTCCAGGATCGAGTTATGTAGACCGTCGCGATTCTTCTGGCTCTCGGCCTTGATCGCGTTGGTTGCATCTTCTGTGCCAACCCGCGCGCGCGTTTTTTCGCACCACGTCGCGGCGCCGATACGGTTTTCCCTGCCAGATCGGCCCGTGGAACAGGTTCCCGCTATTTATATATCGTCGCTAATGAATCTAGATTAAAAAAAAAATGTATTATCGAGCTGCGTGCCGCGCTAATGCGATGAATGAAAAGTCCAGGCTCAATGAAGTTGTTAAAATATTCGCGCGTTCACCTAAATACCTAATATCCATTATCAAAGATGACTCCAGACATGTTATCTAAATATGACAGAAAATAAAACACCAAGCATACAACTCAGTTGGATACGAAGATACAAAGCTGGCCAAATTAATCGTTAAATGAATTTTATTTCTAAGCTAATATTTATTGTATCACATAAAGCGTTGGTTAAAGATACATTCATTATTGATAAGATATCAGAATATTAAATGAATCATTATGTTAATACTCACTAAAGTTGTTGACAGGCGAGATCGATGCTCTAATGACGATTTTATTCTACCTTCTGTATCCGATTGATAAAGCAACGATGACTAAAGCGTTGAAGAATAAAAAGAGGCATTATATATTTTATGGCTCTTCCCAATCGCTGTTTACGGAGAGGAAGAGCTCCGAATTTATCATTTAGAGGCTGTCATGATTTTTTTTCTATCAAGGTCACTCGTTAACTAAATTACAGATGACGTCGACGATGGTCACTGCTCCGGCGTGGTTCGACGAACTTCGCGCGACAGGATGCTGCAAAAATTATAAGAATCGACTATGAAAACATGGGACGGACGAGAGCGTGAAAAAAAGGATACGACGAAGACGAAAACGTTCGGCCCCGTGACGGGCCCCGAGGTCGCGATTATCAGCGATCATCGACGATTGTTCTTCGCATGCCGTTCCACGCGAGTCCTAAGTAACGAGGAATCCCGTGGGAACGTGGACGACGTACGCTCATTTATTTGCTATCTACGCGGTACAAAGATTCTCGAGGACAACTAGCAGGCAGCAACGAGGAGCGAAGCGTTCAACTTGCCGGTTGCCGCAGCTTCCGCAGATCCTCAAGTCTTGTTCCCGCAATCCGGATAATCGATTTCTCTTTATCGTCTTCATTTAAAATCCTCTCAAGAGATAAAGCTTTTAATATTCTCTTTTTCTTTCTTATCGCCAATACTGGTTTTTAAGTCCCGTTAGCTGCGCGAATTGTTTCCACAATTTGCGTTAAAACTTATTGTTACAGTCTTTTGAAGGATCGCGGACTTTTAACGTAATAAATTATTTGATTCTCTCACGGCTGAATTGAAATAAGATAGTGAAATGGAGTTGTAGCGATTCATTGTGAGAACAAATCGAAACTTGTTATTTCTGTTTACGGTGAATTATATGTTCTTCAAATTTCTTACAACGAAACTGGACAATCAATCTTTAAGTATTAAATTGATGTCGTTCAAACTGTTTCAAAGCTTAAGCATTTTTGTCACATTTAAAATTACCCAAGTCCTTTGTTCGCAGGATTCATTTGATGGTATTTTCCGAGCCCGCTTTGTAAAGCGATGCGAAATGTCTTACACGAAACACTCGTTTTTCATACATGATCTTCCCCATAAAGTATTCCATGTAATCATTCTACCATGTATTTTGTGGACAACACTTGGATCTCGCGCTGTGCGTTACTTTTCAAAAACATGCCATACCACCTTCTGAAACATTATGTAGGGGCAAACTGCCCTTGTACGCGTACGAACTAAACTTATGTACAGAAAGGGAGTACAATGGATCGTACTTCAAGGTACGCTCGCCATAAATGTTCCGAGGAAAAATCCTGGAGCCGTGGATCCTTTACCGTGTGCATGATCTCCCCGTCCGGTTGCAGATTTCCGAAGAAAGAAACGATCCATTCTACCCAGGAAGGATTCTGAATTAACGAGCCGCGGAATAAAGCGCGGAAGTCCAGCCTGATCCATGAATTATTCCTTCAGGGATCGTTTGACAGGCCCGCGATTCACCTGTCTCCAGGATTTTTATCTTTTGCGTAATAACGGCAGCTAATACGAGCGTTTGCGCAAACGGTGACTGCCTAGCCCTACCATTTATTCATATCACTTTCCTTTCCGCGTTCACAATATTCGGTTTTGAGGAAAATTAATCTTCACGCGGTTAAAAACTTGAATTTGAAATGTTCACTCGCTCTATTCGCCAAATATTTTTAATAAAAAAAAATTAAGTTAAATAGAAAAAAATACGTCTTGTGAATTCACATAGTAATTTAAAGTGGCTACTTCCGACTGTGCCAGGTCCTAAATGGCGTTTACGCTTGTAATTTATTTCAATAGAACCATTATATGATGTAAATCAAACAAGTGTAGGATAAGTCATTGAAACGTATTATCAGTGATTACAAGCGCGCAAATAAAGTTCGCGCAAGAAAGCGATTGGACGTTTTACAATGCAGACTTTATTCGTCCAGCTTTTTTAAAAAGAAAAACGTCGAAAAGGTTTGACGGATAAAAGTTGCATATAAAACTGAACGCTCCGCAACTTTTCTCGAACGAACTTCATTTGCGTGCCTGTAATTGCTGATAACGTGTTGATTCGGCAATTTATCAATGTTCAATTACCGTTTACGCCGCTCGACGCCTATGTAATCATTAAAGCTCGAAAGGTAGTGATTTAAGTATACAATGACGCTCGTCATTAAGAGGACCAAAAAGGTTTAGTCCAGACACGCACCGCATATGTATTTAAAAGATGGACTATCCTGTCGACATGCGAATACATAGGTACGGGCAGGGGCCGATGATTTATGAGATACGGAGATCTCAAGCCACCTTTAATATCGCGAGTATTTTCGCGTGCGCGCCTTATATATTTCTACATGATGTACAGTTATTAAGCACACACACATTCGAAGCTGAGTATACACACTGGGCGAGTTCCTCTTAATATAATTCTTTCTTTTGTAACTGTAATTCGCCCAATTCGCGCATCCCCGTCGAGTTAAACGGTGATAACTCGCAGTTTATTTATTCCCGTACTTCGCCAAGGAACTCTTACTCCGCGAAGATTGAAGATAAATGCACGATTTGGCGATAAAAATTCTTTGAAAAAACATCTGGCGACAGCGATGGTCGAATATTGAAGCAAGGCGTTTTGTCGAATTTCAATTTGGGTGCAACCGTTTTTTATCTTCATTCGATTATCCTCTCCATCGAACGCGCTGAGTGTAATCCATCTGCCAAGTTTGGCAGGTTTGCTTCGTAGGAATCGGACGAAATCGACGAGAAAGTAAAAAACCACGGCGATCGTGCACGCAACGACGAAGCGTCATAAAGATCGCTCCGCTTCTCTCGCGGTTTTTCGAATGTCGGTGTCACGGACGGGGGGAAAAAAGAGAGGAAGAAACCGAGAGAAGAGCAGAGCCGAGTGGTTGAAAGGCTTCGGTACCCCGGGTATATACCTCAGCTTATAAATAAATCGACGAAGAGCCTCTTCGCCTCCCTTCGCGCACTTTTCTCTCCCTCCCGCGTCCTTCCGCGCGCGTTACCACCGACGCGAGGGG